TGGCCTCCCTCCGCCTCCACCACCTCCTCCTGGGTCAGGAGCTGCACTCCCTCCACCTCCACCGCCTCCTCCTCCCGGGTCAGGAGCTGGCCTCCCTCCGCCTCCACCACCTCCTCCTGGGTCAGGAGCTGCACTCCCTCCACCACCTCCACCTCCTCCTGGGTCAGGAACTGGCCTTCCTCCGCCTCCCCCTCCGCCTCCACCACCTCCACCCCCTCCTCCTCCTGGGTCAGGAGCTGGCCTCCCTCTGCCTCCTCCTCCTCCTCCCTTCTAGTCTTCAGCCGTCAGGCTTGGTTTTCCCACAGGTGTGCAGCAGGAGCGGTGTGAGCACAGCGGTCAGCCGTGATCGATCAAAAGAATWTAAAAACAGGTTTTAGGAGAGTCTGTACGCAGCGGTCGACCTGTTCCGTCTCTGAAATTACTGTTTTTTTCCCCTAAGATAGAAAATCTATCTTGTGACATTGTTGGTGCAGAGAGCTGGATTTTTCCAACATGTCCCAACAGCTCCGCTGCATTCCTGAAAAACAAGCTGAAACAGGGATTCCTGACTTTTTCTTCCATAGTTTMAGTGATTTGTCTTCCTCATTACGTCCGTGCAGCATTATATTGTCTCCTAATGACCGAGGCATGTTAAAAACCAGTTACTCATCTTGTTTATTGTTGTTAACTTATATTAGTTTTTTTTTAGAAAAAACATGCTCATAAAAACCTGATATCATCTATATTAAAGACAAAATGTTCCTCTGCAATCATTTTCTGTCTCGTTTCATATTAATCAGTCCACAAGCTTCCCCGCAGAGTAGTGCTTTAAATTAGTTTATAATTTTATTCTGCTCTCCTAAAGTTATTATTACATCACATTTACTGACTCTGACTGCATCGGTTGGAAGTTTCTGCACAATATAGGGTGTTTATACAGAGAAAGGTGAAGAACTGTGTTCAGTAACAGGAAGTGTAAAACTGATTTTATTATAAGTAAAACCTACATCTAATTAAAGTAGAAACAACTCACATAAATATTTTTATCATGAGCTTCAACTCAACAAAAGAAGTGGCAAACTTTCAGCTTTTAAGTGAATGCATGACTTTTATTCAGTCTGTTTTTGCATATTACCTTCGTATAAAAGAAGGGTGAGAATTTCTCCTCCACTGATGGAAAACATGGCAACTGAGAAAAAGGAAAATGTCCTGTTAAGTGAGCCGAAGCCGTCACATAAAACACCTCTCGTATTTTCCTGAAAGCGCGAAGGATTCAGTGGAAGGAGATAAAGAGAAACCTTTGAACTCTCTGAGGGTAGCTGTGTGTTGCACATGATCGTTAAACTAAACCACAGACTAAATGCAGTCTAAATGTTTTATAACCAAATCAGCCTTTTTGTAAAAGATAAGGCTTCTTTTTCTTCTTTTTTTCATTTTACTGAAGTTTGGAAAAAGAAAAGCTTGTTTCAGTTGTCTCAGTAAAGCTCAGTCTCACCTGCTGAAGCTTGTAGCTTCAGGGAGCTCACAGGTGCCCTGGTGGTCTCGCTCACTCTCCTTCCTGCCGTTTATTCTGTGAGGACGGCCTGCTCTTGGTAGATTTACACATGTTCTCATATTCCTTCCATCTCTTGATGATGGATTTAACAGAACACCTGAAGATGTTCAGGGCTCTGGAAACCCTTTTATATCCATCCTAACTTCTACTTTTCAGAGTTGCATTCAGAGAGTTGCTTTAAAAAGGGTGACTATGCACTTATTTTAGGTTACATTTTTTTTATTTAGCATCACCCTGAAGAAAACTGATTTCACCTTATTTTTTAAAAGTCCAGACCATGACTGATTTATGACGGCAATAAAAGCATAAAACATTCAAGCCGCTGAATGCTTTATGTAGGCCATGTTAGGCCAGTTGTGATCAGCTGCTTTGTTTGTTTGTTTGTTTGTTTTTTCCTAAAATGATATTAGGGTAAGTCCCACTGTGGCAACTTGACAGTTTAGAGATAATATTCAATAAGAACTGTTGAACATTCTGGTGATWGTTTTACACAGCAGCTAAATGAATAATGATTGACAAAAAGGCTGATTTTACTGGTCTAAGATTCAACACAAGGACTGAAACTTGAACGCGCACTTTCTGAAGCAATATCTAAAAGTGACAGTGATCGAATGTTTTTAAAGGTTATTATATTTTTTCAAWGATTTCCTTC